GAAGAAATTCTACCGAACGACGGCCTAAAAAACCGAAAAACCCATTACTTTTTAAGGCTGCTTTGTAAATAAGCGAGAGGGGCAAAAAATACAAAAACTGTTTTTAAAAGTAGTTTTTTTGGTTCACMGGCTTAAAGTTAGAGAACATTGGAGCTGAGCGTTAAATTCAGGTACATCAAAATAGCGAAGTTGGTGTTCATTTTTTTCTAAAATGAGCCTCTATCGAGCTACTAGCGYTTTTGCGACTTCGGATCACAATCTAAACAAACATTGTCGAAAATTTGGCAAACCCAATAAGAACAGCCCTTTCACAATAAACTTCACGCGTTCGCCCTAAAGTTGAAAATTGCAAAAAAACCACTCACTTTTGAAAAAATCGAATTTGGCCGTCTGCCTCATTACAAAAGCCGATATAACAACACGCCCATAAACATCGAATAAATTAAGAGCCCAGTCTTCAAGTCCAATGTTTACGACCGCTTCAACCCCGCATTTTTCAGATAATCACATTGAATGGCCGCACACATGTCATGATAACTCCTATTTATCACTACAGGCGCTCTTTTGTTTGATGGCTGCATGATAACGCGTTCTTTACCAGTAAAGCATTTATATTGGCGACCACCCACAAGCCAATGCGCGTTTATTTATCGACGCTCCGGCTTTTTCAAATTTATTTTTTCGTTCCAACTGCAGCCTGTTCTGGTCCAGTAACCTATTCCCAAACCACAAACTAGGAGTTTTGCTAACTGTACATTTCCCTAAGGGGAACAGCGTTGTGAAACCATTCCGAGAACATCAGTCAATTAGTTGGTAGATGTGAAAAGCCTCCGAGTTGGCCAGATCTAGTCGCTATCGACTGCCCGTTTCAATTGTTTATGCCAGCGGGATAACATATTATTAATAACATTGAAAATGCGCCAAACAGCAGGCCAAAGGAATCTGCTAGAAAAGCAGGAAGTTGCGCTCGGAGGATGTATTGTGCAAACATTGTCAGCAAACAGAAAAGATACATCCGTTCCAAGCCATTTGTTTTTCGGTGCGATGTGTTAACAAGTCGCTTTGGAATTTTCCTGCTAACTAATAAAATCCATAAAACGCGCGGAATATGCGTGAATTGAGCGCAAATTTGTTCTAATTTCCACTGGGTTTTTGTTGCAGGGTTACTTAGAGCCTTGGAGGAACGACCCAGACTGTCCACTGGGTCAACATCTACAAGACCTTTTCACCAATTTGGAAGAAATCCATGAATTCAATAGGTAAGTCCGAGAGACTAATGCTGAGCCATGCTCTGCAAGACCAATCTGGCGATTGGACATTGAGGAGAAAAAATTATTTGCCATGACGGCCTTAAGGCCCGAAAAACTCGCCGGCTTCAAGCAATGGCCGCGAAACTCTAATTTCTTGGATAATTATCATAATTACCATCTTCTCTAATGGCATAAGTATAATAATAATCAACATCGGATGCAGCCCTGAGAATAATTGCGCTCTGTATAAGGAGAGCCGGCTATTGCGGCACCAAACCGACTTATAACGTAAAAGATGCCATATGGAATAATTATACATTCAATTATGAATAATTCAGCGCACTTAACTAGCACAGATTTAAGTGGAAGCGACTTGAAAATTGCCCGATTTTCTGGTCGCAACCGGGCATTTCCTGCAAGTTACCTGGTTAATTATCATTCACAACCAAACTGCTTCAAACGCAACTGGCGACGTTAATTTGCTCTTTTTTCCTAAAGACAAATTCTTGAAGACCTTCGCAAGGCCAACCTAGACCCAACCAAAACAGCCAACGTGTTTCTTCAGCACGACGGCGGGTTCAAAGTGTACAACGACTTTTGTGCGCGTTATCCGCGCACCATGGAAGTGCTCAGCGCTCTGCAGAGGGACGACGAAATCTCCCCACTGATCAGGGAGAAGCAGCTGCAGCTGGGCCACGCCCTGCCGTTGGGCAGCTACCTGTTGAAGCCCGTGCAACGCATCCTCAAGTATCATCTTCTTCTCCAGGTGAGTTCAAAGTCCAAGCTCGATTCATTGCCCAAACTAGATGGTATCGAGACGTTCAAAGAAGTGCTGTTGCACTTGGGAGAGTGTTGAATTTCAAGTGGTGTCGGATGTCTGCGGTTTTTCGTTGTAACCGATAATCTGAGAAAGAGACGCCTTGAAGAAGGCATGTGTGTGTGTGTCTGTGTAAAATTAGAAAAATAATCGTCGTTTTGTGCAAGGGTGGCGCAAGATTATTGCAAAATTTCATGTTTTCCGTCCCGTTTTGCATGCTTCTCGGAAGCAAAAGTAAAACGCTCGTTTTTACATCATTCCAGAGATAACTAAATGGCCTTTATTCGAAGTTTCTCAAGAACCATTCGAGCCGAACGAACAGAATTCGGGCATCGTTAGATAGAGAATTGAAAAGTCCATTTAGTTGTAACAACGTGAGTGAGCAAATTCGAGTAGTTTTGACCCAGAAAGCGAAATTTGAATATCAGACACTTAGGTGCAAGATTATGCCAAAATTCCATGTTTTCCGTCCCATTTTT